CTACAGATGGGCTTTGGGTCTCTACTCCAAACCCTCTCATTCACATCAATATAGTTGTTCATTTTGGATCATTTGATACCTGATACCTAATCCTGTCGATACCTCATGATCACACAGGCTGGTGTGCTTCTTTCATGTGGACTTTGTTGCTTGCCTGCTGGATGGCTGATTGTTTAACTTCAATCCTTTAAGAACCCAGATATATTCTTTGATAGCCAGGCACCTTCTGCTCTCTTCACCACATTTGCTTATGCACCCATTTTGTCTTCAGGGATTGTGAATCAAAGAGTGAGTATCAAAGAGTGCCAGGTTATTAGAACAAAGTATTCTTGTGTTAAGGGAGGCCTTGAGTAGAGGTCAAAAGTCTGTCTGCTATCTTAATGCTTAACATAGTAATATATGTACATTGTTCTCTATCCCTTTCATTATAAATTAGTATATTTACATATATACATGCCAATAGTGATACATCTATAAATAGCTTTTGCCTCCTACTTCTTTCCTCTATTTCCTTTCACCTTCCTTCTATTCCACTATCATGCTTACCCTCCATTCAGATCTCAGTAATTCCTGTCAGATACATTGCACTTGATTAAACCCCACCAGGTATTATACCAGGTATTATAAACCCTCCTTGCCATCAATTTTAGATCTCTTGTTCCCTTATCCCTGAGTTTGTTGGCTCCACACTATACATCCCCACCCACTCCTCTCACATGTCCTCCAGAACTGCCAATCCCATTGTTTTCTCCTCAGGATTAGTTTCCTGCCTATCTTATATAGATAGATATAGCACAAAAGAAAAACAAGAAAAAAAATAGATAGTTCTGGTCATCAAAAAGATATTGAAGGCATCAGTGTTGGCACAGAAGAAACAAAACTCACTTTATTTTCAGATGATATAATCCTATATAGAGGAAACTCCAAAGATTCAATTTAAAAATAGCTGGAACTCATTGGAAACTTTGGCAGTGTAGCAAGAAATAGGATCAATATGTAAAAAACAGTTGTATTCTTGTATATTAAAGTGTTTTATTAAAATTATAAAACATTTTTACAAGAAACTAAAACAGACACACAAATAAAGAATATTCTGTGCTCTTGGATAGGAAGACTTAATATAAGGAAATGTCAATTTTATCAAAACCACTCTATAAATTCATTGCAATTCTGACCCAAATCCCAGCATAATTCTTCAGAGATGGATAAACTAATTACAAACT